TAATTATCAGCTTCCGTAACCACGGCCAGGGGGTCAAAATCGGTGCGGTTACTTTATTGTAGCTCTTTTTTAGGGTTAAGACGAGTAAAGACATTAAAAGTGGCCAAAAAACGTACAGTATGGCGAGTGCTGCAAACAACTTGCCTAAGTTTGTAAATGTTGGATTATTTCTCGCATACCAGTGAGAACGCAGTTATGAAAACTTATAAATAATAATGAGCACCATTAGGGATATAAAGTGCTTCAAAGAACTATTAGAAGCACGAAGCGATTGTTAAGAAAAATAAAAAATTTTCGATAAACCCCAAGTTCCAGAGATGTAAAAAATTTCTATATATTAAAACAATAAATTTAAATATCTTATTAAGTTGAGAACGGAATGGAACCAATTTCCTTATATAGATTAAACTTTTTTCTAGTCAAAATATTCTGTGCATATTACCATTACTGGATTATTATTTATTGAATATCGTCGAATAACGTCTGTCATTATTTTCTTCGTTTTCAGTGTCTTCATTGACAAATTGATTAATTGCGCTCCTGCTCGACGTTTACACCAAAACCTTTAAAATAAGATAGATATAAAGTGCATTTACCGAAAGAAAGTGTTTTTGGATATTAGTTCTTATAATAATGACCATGTTGCTCATATGTAGAAATGCCTCAAAACACCAAACCATAGTGTGGAGTATAAATCATGTCCGCAACGGAATTCTGATATCGTTATTCTTAATATTGATACAAAATTTTCCATAAAAGGTGACCTCGTTACAAATGGCTTTGATTAGATATTCGGCTGACGAATTTCTGTGTATATTAACTTTCTCCAAGGCAATGTAATAATGAAATTGGAGACTTTTGAAAATTTCTTTAATTTACCTGACGATAAACGGTACAGTTTGACTAAGGATGAAAGAACTTACTTTTCTCTTTATAATGGATTATTTTCCGCTTAAGAGGATTAATTCCACGATCCGTTATAAGCTTGCAAATGCAAAAACAGGCCACAGATATGACCATTTTTTGAAATAATTATTATTCTTCTGCCTGTTCCGTTTCTTAATAAGATATAAGCGCAGCGTGTAGTTTACAAAAGAGCATATTTCTAACTGACTTACATTTAATAAGGCCTGCTTTACATCACTTCACGGTAACATATATGGCAAAGTTTGCCTATGCGCAAGGACAGCTGTGCGGTAAAACAAAATTTCCAACGAAACGTTTTCGTTACTGCATTTTGTGCAAAAAAACTTCCCAGGATAGCTAAACATAATTTTTAAAACTTAAATGCTTGTTTGTTTCTGCGAAGAAGGCGATTCCTTAAACTTGGCTTCACCTCCATTTTATCAACTTCGCACAAAATTCTCCAGTTCTGGAAGGGATTATTACTCCACCTTTTTACTCATTCTGGTATTCTTTCACAGCACAATGCATATTAGTAAAAGGTTTGGTTCTGTCGTACATTATAGCATAGGAAATTTGTTCGATAAAAACTTACTCATGATTTGCCAAATAGTGCCTATTTCGCCACATAACTTTAAATAAGATGGCGGTTTTCCAAACCAGAGCCCTTTTCATTATTAAATCCACTCAGCTGAGCAAAATAACCTGTCTAGATATATGCTAAACTACCGAGTTAAATTTCGTCCTGAAAGTTGCTTGCAGGACTTGCCATACTGTATACTGGTTCCTGTGGACACCGCTTCCTTATGGTCAGTGATGTAGGCCACTAGATATAAATCCTTTCTGTGCATAGGACGATGCTCTGTAAAAAGGACTTTAAAATATTAGTTTCTGCAGATTGGTTTGTAAACTGAAGCAGAATTTCTGCCACAATTAGGTGAGCTTGAGTGCTTACTATATTTACCATGCTGCACCCACAGAAGGTGACTCATCTTATGCGAAGTCATGATCCAAATTCGACTTTTGCGTAGAGTTAGTCTGGTTCTTTTGATCTATTGAGTGGATGTGATGCTCAGAAAGCTTCCTTTTGAAACATCTGCACGGTAGTTGATTTTATTTAAGGAAAGCAAGCATAATTTGACGAAATCGGTGGTTGCCAGATATTAAATAAATTTATGTTACATAATATGACAGAAGAAAACCATTATTTTTGGGCATTGTGCTATAGGAGCGCATAAATGAAGCAAGCAGACACTTATCAAGGTTTATAATTGATCCTAGATATATTAATATCGGACTTCAGTTATAAACATTGACTTTTCTTGGCAATGAGTTCTGGTGTTTTGGTGGGTCTACAGGTATGTTTCAAACGACTATCGACATAAGAACTACTATTTGGCAAAAAAATTTTCTTTATAGCCTTTTCGGGAATATCTTTTCAAGTTTTTGCTCAAAATATCGAACGGAATCTAAATTTATGGAACATAGTATTAAAAGATCAAAAATCGTGAAATATTAAATGCACGTTTGACGACGACTTAAAAATAATCATAATCCAATACCATAAATATCCATGAAGAATTTTGACGAAAGAAGACTTTTAATATACACAAAATCCTATGTATAAGCTCCCATCTGACACCCATATTTATATTGAAATATCGGCTTTCCAAGCGATATGTACTGTCAACGCTAGAGTCGTTTGGAGAAGAATAGTGTTTATTGTGTGAACACTCGAGTCTGGTTCCCCAGCTCGTCGCCAGATATAGGAGAGTGTTGCGAAAACAGTGAACTCAAAACGGTGACTAACACAAGATTCTACGATGGGTCAGCACGTGGAAAGATAATCGTCACCCGCATTTAAGTATGTGGTTACTGGGGAAAATAGCTGTCATCCACATGTAATTATGCAGTCAGGGAAGATCATAGACAAAACAATTTTTACGCTTTCGGAATAAGAGGCTTCTTTAAAAAGTTCATATTTCTTAACAAGCAGTAAGCATTTTTATGTTTTGTTAATTTCTAAATTCACTTAAGGTTCTTCATAATTTTTTCAAAGTTTTTTGCCAGTTTTTCATTACTTTTGGCATTTTGCATCAGCTAGGCTCCATGATGAATTTAATGCACACTGCAACTGGGCTTCTAAGTCAGTCTGAATTATAACGTCCAAAAAAGCGTGCAAAATCCCGCAGCAAAACATTCATCGT